ACCATACTAACTTGTATAATACACTAACTTGTCTAACTTTACATCATTTCATAGTTAGACATTAAACCAAAAATATGTAACTAAATGTTTAACCAAAAATACAATAGTCATGTGACAACAAAAATGTCACAACTCCAACACAAACACGGGTACAGACAGCAATCATCATCATATTATAACAAGCCAGATAAAGACCAATTGCTGCATTCCCAGATTCCTTCATCACCTTATATCGCTCAGCCTCCGCCATATGATTATATGACCCGTGATGAACATATGATTCAGTATAACTTGTTGCGGAATGAAGTTCATAGTTTGAAGGAAGACTATAATGAAAAGTGCCAAATGATGTAGGCAGATTATGATGAAAAAATGGAAAGCATGAATCAGTGTTTTGAGGAGAAAGAATGGGCGGGAAGATATGTTAAGACAGTTACTCCTAGAACTAAACTCTACCTTCTGTTCTTCAAAGCCCTAGATAGATTGTGTGGTACCTTCCTTCCTATGAATGCTTTCATGGGAAAATGTATAGTATCGCCGATTAGTTAAGTAATGTTGGGTATATGCCCAAACATATAATTCGACAATACGTTTTAAACAAATAAATATTGATTTCTAAAGAAAGTTATGGAAATTTCCCTACAACTGTAACTTAAGATGAGAGAAAGGAAAATGATGAATTGGCTTATACTTCTATTATACCCTTTTTTTATGTTTTTTAAAGAAAAGTTGGCAAACACGATTCAACACAAAAGCTTTGAAAAAAATTAGAGGATCTTTATTTGTTAAAAATCCATTCCAAATTTTTTTTTCCTACTCGAAAGTTTTTTTGATTTTAAAATTGACTCCTCTAAAGATTTGGATGGCAATCTGGATGTCTTTAACAAATTAGTTTAAGAAATTACAAATAGTGGTGAAAAGTGTCTGAACAATATAAATTTATTATCTCGTTGAATGCTATTCTTAATGCTTATAAAGGTGTGAAAATGCTATTGAGTGCAGAAGTTACGATTTAACACTTGATATCAAAATAGATTCTTTAGAAAATAAGAATATGGAGTTGAGAGCTGAACAACAAGGGAGTAGTTGTGAGGTTCACATGATGAGATATAGACCTCATGCTTGGCATGGTGGAAATTGAGCAAATCAAGATAGTAGTAACTCAAGTGATGAGGGTGGTAAAAAGGAGTAAAAGTTGGGATAGATCTAAGTCGGGAGCGAAAGGTAAAAGATTTTATGGCTATGGTAAATATTGACCTTTTTTAAAATTATTGTCCTAAAAAGAATAACAAATAGAAAGAAAATGTGAGAAGTGAGACGAACGTTGCCAGTGGGTCTAATTATGACTCGAGTAAGGTTTATTGATAATAAACTCTCCACTGCTACATTTGTATCTGTGTGTGAATTCTCATTTGCATGAATAATTGCTTGATTCTTGTGCATAAACATTATGTTTAGTGTGTACATTTTCACGAATTTAAGAATGATCATATTACAATGTGTATCATGTTGCATGCATAGTGGTGGGATTGCTATTGTGAGATTTAACACGGGATGTGTTCTCGCTTTAGTAAGTGGGTCAACTAAAAAAATGTTTGAGGGTACATTGGTGAATGCGGGTGTGTATAAGAATGGCATT